TAGTAAAATTGATTGTTTCTTCATGTATGGTTAAGAAACTGGGTGGTGCAAACATAGAACTGCCTGATTTGATATCAGCTTGTACATTGGATAACTCTCGAGTTTCAAAGTCTAGGAAAGTAAAGCTTTTTACATCTTCCAAAGCTTCTCCGTCAAGTGTGATTCAATTGGTGCATGCTGTGTTGTATCGGCGAATCTTGCTTTTCCCTTTGTGTATGTTGAGACCTACTACTTCTGAGGCTGCCATTGCACTAGTCGTCTTCTCATGAATTTGTTGTTGTGTGTGCGATAGAAGAGCCAAATCATCTGCAAAATATGGATCGTTCAGCTGCAACCTAGCCGTCCACTGTATCACATGCTTCCCCAGGGATTTGGACATCCTCACGATCCAGTAGGTCATTAGGATAAAGAGAAACGGTGATCTATCATTTATTTGTTTATCGAACGATACATATTTAACAGACATTATCAAAACAGGATCTACATTTTGTGAATTTTTTAATTCATGTAATTCATGAATGTGACTCTCCTAATTGTTTACTTACGTAGGCTCGATGATGAAACATAGTGGTTTTTATCAGTGAGGGTTTTGTTGGGATTTTATTAATTTCAATAGTTGAAATCATGAGTCAGTTGAAGCTAGACTGCCATAGAATACCTGGAAGCTCTGGACGGCTGTTTCTTTCTAGTATGGGACTCCTCAATAGTGCACATCCATGATCCCGTCCCCTACGAGACTCGAACGTAGGACCTATCAGTCTCGCGGATGCGCGCTGCTGAAGAGTCCCATACTGGGACGAAACGGCTGTCCAGTGCTTCCAGGTTTTCAATAGTGGTCTAACATCAATCAGTTCACGATCTCAATCAATAACTTAATAATCTCCACAATACTATACTGATAGTTACCATGTGCTCACTAGTGATTAGCTTCGTGAGGAAATTCTCGAAGTTCTAGTGAGAAGCCGTGACCAGTGGGGCTAATCCGTATCGGGTAGAGACGGGTATCTACCTCAGGATAATGGAAGATTGTTGCGCAATTTCGTGGATTGGTTGAGGTTAGACATTAACGCCGTTGGATGCCGACTCATTGGTCTAGGGGTTAAGCGTTCGCGGGCGAGAATGAAGGCACTGTGTTCAAACCTCGCGAGCGGTGTCGTGTATGTGAACTGCTGAGAAGTCACATAATAGGATGAAATAGCCGTCTAATGATCTTAGGTTTTCAGTGGTGGTCTAACATCAATCAGTTCATGATCTTAATCAAAAACATAATAATCTCCACAACTCTATATCTGCCAATCATATAATTCCAATAGTTCGTTACAATTTCGATTATACGCATTCATATGATTCAATAATTCGCCTTGAATCTACTATATTATCTACTCTAAATGTTGGCAGTAGAAATAGAATATGGAGACTTTTCATAATGTTTATTTTTCAGATTGGTCACCTACATTTGTTGAATACCTAAGATATTTGATGTTAAGGCTTTATAAACCTGATTTTTACATATTTCTAATTCATTGAGTACTATTATTTGTGAGTTGGAGAAACTGTTGGAATTTAGTTGAAAATGATTAATTTTAACTTATAAATTTATTTCGGACATTTTACTCTGCAAACATACAAGGTTATTGAGTGGTTGAATTCACAAGTCAATTGAAGCTAGACCACCATAGAAAATCTTAGAGCACCGGACTACCGTTTTGTCTTATTGTGGGACTCGTCAGCAGTGCGCATCCACGAACTCGCCTCGCGAGACTCGAACCCAGGACCTATCAGTCTCGCGCGCAAGCGCCTAATCACTAAACCACTAAACCGGCCGCCATTCAACGGTGTTAATGTCTAACTTCAACCAATCCACATACAAGTTTACGCTTGTATTTTCTGATTGAACATTAACTTTTGTTCTGATGATACATTTTTTTACGTTATTGAAATTAATGTCAGCAAAACAATCTACAAATATAATTCCGAAAGATTCATTCTCAATATTACTGACTAATTCATGATTATTTTCTATTGGAATCAACATAGATATTGGTGATTCAGAGATAGAAGTTAGTAATTTCAAAAATTTACAACAATTAGTGCCTTTGATAAATTTCGATAATGCAATTACGAGACGAAGTTTAGCAGAACTAATGTGTTGATATATTAGCACAATATATTTCGAACAATCTGATCACACATAATGTAATTGTTAAGAACATTTTTATCTGAAAATAAAAAGGTCAACTGAACAGATTAGACGTAAGCTGTAACAAAGAAAAAAATAATGACAAAGTACACAAAGACAATGTGATAACCACTCTGGATAATAAATCAGTATTACCAGGGTAGATCAAGTGTAAGGATAAATTGTTTTTGAACACATAAAGGGAGTTTTAGTTTCCATATAACCAAGGTTTCAATAAACCTTAGTATACGTCCTTGAATCCTTTTGTATAACGCTGCAAATGCTAATTTGCTGTCAACCTTATGACCAGTCTCAGCCGTGGTGTAGTGAAGGAGAACACGGGTGAGGACAACCAAATCGTATTTAGCACAAATTACAGAATTACTTGGTAAAATAGAAAAACCATATAGTAAATCGTTAATTCGCAAAATATCATTCCATCATATCAAACGGGACTGTTGCTGTGCAAACTCAATCCATTGTCTCACCGTGGTATGTAGTTGGACACTCTCAAGGTCTTTTGGACGTTGCATAAAGGTCGCCTATAAATGATAGTCTCACCAAAATTCCATATAAAAATCCATAATGAAATTTCCATTGGTATTATATTCCCCCCAGAATGTGCCTGTTTGGTGCTAAAACTTATTTATTTTATTTAAACATACAAACATTGGTAAAAGGAGGTACCACGGAATCGGTATCCAGTGGATTCGCACCAATATCATTTAAAGATGGTTGTGAGATAACACAAACTGACTGGACTCAGAAACGTAAACCACTGGGATTCCGACTCTCATTAATCTAGAGATCAAACACCTCCTTAAAGATTGGAAAACCCTAGGTCCGATGCCTAATAGGATCCCGATCCTAGGACGAAGCCGCAATCTATCCAATGCTATCTGATTTCCGTTGGTAGCCTAACTAAGGTTAGTTTGTGATGCAAAATAAGCGACTCATAACAGATTTTCACTGAAACTGAAAGAAAATTCTCTCAATGTATGAAATTATTACTACTATTTAAACACAAAAATATTGGTGCAAGAAGGCACGATATAGATATGCACCACGTAAATCATCCGATTTGCATGAGCGCTAGGATACTGCCCAAACCGAAATAGGCGGTTTTCTCAAGTGGCCACACACCAAACCTTTGACTTGGAGGTCTAATCCATAAGGTAGTGGAACAACCCCGAAAGATACAGTCCCATGGTAGCCGAAGACCACTGATTGGTTATACGCCATTTGTTCCTTCAGGATCTTCCAGGGCTGGTTTAGAACCAGGGCTCGCCAACTCCCATAGGTGAACCTTCTGTATCCACTAACCTGCCTAAAGTGTAGGACATTCGCTTTTCGTCCTCTCAATTTCATAAACAATAGTAATGCCGCGAGAAGGCAGTGAGTAGAACCTCTCTGGCAGTTGTTGTGTGCACGTGGCCACGTGAGAGCACTTGGAGAGGCAGAGCTGACTCTTCCCACTCTCGGTCATAGCAGGGCATTTGAGGACCACAATACATTACGTGGAAAAACCTGATTAGATATTAATAGATTTTTGTTATACAATAGTTCAGATTACTGTTATAACTTGTGGTCTGAGTGCCCTGCTAATGTATAACGTAATGATACCGCCAATTAAAGAGGAGTGAATTATCGATAGGATCAATGACGCATAAACCCTGCACAAACAGTCTAGAGTCATTATTGGTCCTGCTTCCTGCCTAGCCCAGCCATTTAAGTCCAGAACACCAATCTCAGCCTCTGCAATATGAATCTTTTTTTCAAGCATACTGAGTTCATATGCCAGGCAGACAGACCACACCATAAAATATCAAACAACATTTGTACAAGATCTAGCCAAAATTGGCTGTGAATGTGGGAAATAGTAATTGACATTTAAATCATTTTTTTATATTAAATAAGTTACATGAGTTAAGTATATCGTAGACATGTGACTGGAAGTACTGATTTTGTAAACGGAACTGCTACGTGGTTGAGTGCTTGAATTACTAGTTGTTCGAATGCAATTCTAATATTATTACTGCATTAATCCATCTGTAATGGTTATTGAAGTCCAAATGCAATTATTGGTTCCAATCAGTTGATACAAACATTATACTTGAGGTTATATTTTTTTAATAGTTGGCAGAAGAGGGATCTATGCCACGTATTTTATTGTATGAAACTCGTCAGCTAGCTAAAATAATCAATTTTTCTTTACAGGTAGTATCGAAGAATTCACTCAAAAACTTCATACGATGACAAATGTTGGATTAAAGACGTCCTTAATAACAACAATTATTATTTAATTGGACACATCGGTACATATGCACCACACAAGTCACTTGATACGTATGTGAGCTGTGATACTGCCCGGGTGCCTAAACTGAAGCAGATGGTTTTCTTAGGAAGCCACACTCGGAGCCTTCAACCTACAATTCTGATCCACAAGACAGTGGAACAACGTCAGGAGATGCAATCTTATGGTAGTCGGTGACCGACAATTGGTTCATACGCCATTTGTTTCCTTAGTATCTTGGAGCCCATGTACACCATTGGTTTGGAATCAGAGTTTTACAATTCTCCTATGCGGATCTTCCGTATCTACCAACCTGGTTAAAGCGTCGAATATTCACTTCTCATCCTCTCAATGAAGCCAGATTGTTTGGAGAGCTGACTCTCCCCACCTACGGCCGTACCGAGGCATTTGGATGCAATAACCAGTACCAAAGTTCTTCACGCAAGCAATAACAAGTTGATTTATCATCTAACACAAATCAATTTCACAACCCCTAAAACGTTTAGAAGCAATTAAAAATGAAAAAATGATGATTATCATTATTATTTTCATACCAATATCATAAAACATAGCCTTTTAAAGAGAATTCCAGTCACATAGATACATATATGTAAAAGAAAAAAATTTTTTTTGTTAAAATAGTTGGCATGAATAAAATAATAACTGTCTTATCAAAAAAAGGTGGAAAGAAATGATTTCAAAGAGTAAACATATCCGTAACCATGATATTAATTATGTGTGAAGGACTTCTAAAATCACCTAAAAAGGTTAATGCGATGATCCATCAAATTAGAAAACATATATGATATATTTTACAATAAAAACGATTAAACTATAAAAAAAGTTCAATTAGACCAGTCAAATACAGTCTGATTGGTTTGTATATGATAGTTATAAGTGATTCAGCTGATATGCAAAATAATTGATATTATTGCCAAAATTACACATAAAACAAGAATGAATGGAAACCATGATGAAAAACAGTGACGTTTACTATAAGAAAAAAAACGGAGAAATTTTATCATAACTGTTTAACGAATAAAAGAAAGAAAAAATCCTTTGGTAGACTAAGCATTTTAATACATTTTTTTCTTTACAAACTGGGATCACCAGATAAGTGATAATGAGGTTAGACGTAGGGTATTAGGGAATAACAGTAAATCAGTCAATGAGGTTGTAAATCTTCACCGACTGAGATGGTTGGACCACGTGGTACGTATGCCTAAACACGATGCGCAATGCTGATCAGTGTTGGAGACGGTTGGAAGAAAGTCAGGGGCAGTCAAACCAAAACGTGTCATCAGTGCTAGAAGTCACTAAATTCTAGTCTGAGTAATATTTGTAGATGCAGAATACTTGGTTGGGGTCCGCGTGACTATCTTAACCAATGGTTGGAGACTGTGTCCCATGGATCACAATGTCGTAGATGTATACACTCTCTGCTTTCCATTAAACTATGAGATTAAAATCGCTTCATATCTTTCTGTGAACTAATTCTTCCTGTGCTATATCCTTATATGCAATCTTTCTTTTACATATTACCACCACTGAATTAACTACTTCTATGAATCTAGTGTTCATCTTGTTGTGCTAATGAGGTATAACCACTTGGACCGATGCATATATACGTGCCTGGTCTTACGTTGTAGCTGACTGACAAGTTGATAATAACTAGTATAGCACCAGAAAAACAAAAAGTATTCAACAGTTCTTTTCTCATCTAAGTAAGAACTACTCTAATTTTCATACTGATCACTGTTTTATCTGTTAAAATTTAACTATTTTAACTCCACAACCTAGTAAACGTTTACATATTTTACTGTAAGAATTTTAATAACACAACTACGCAGCTGTGCTAGATTCAGAACTATAAATCTACAGGTGAATATTCAGTGCTTCAAATATGAAGGTCAAAAATTGTTTTAAGCTAAACAAAAATATTTTTCAAGCAAAGATGGATTGTGACTAGCAGTGGAATAAAGGGTGCGCGTTTCGTCATATTGGGGACTTGTCAGCTGAATATACTTGCGTCTCAGAATTGACGTTCACTCTGGGACTCGAACACAGTACTGTGCGCTTCAAACGCCATTGCGTTATCCACTTAGCTACTGAGTCCTGATAACCACCTGCTTGTGCGATGGGGCGAAGCTTAAGTTCAATTGATGTTGCTTTACTTATATCTTCCCATTGTTATTTAGGACTGCTATTGGTCAGTCTCATGTTGGCATACATGCATCCTGTGCGGATTGCTTCGATATAGCCTTAAGTCACAAGCTTTTTAAGCAACGACAACGAATCTCAAATAGGACGAAACGTGCGTCAAACTGGATTCCACTGCTAGCCACTATCCATCTTTGCTTAAAAAAGTTTGTGACTTAAAGCTATATCGAGGCAATCCGCACAGGATTTACATATGCTAACATGAGACTGATCAATCGCACTCCTAAATAACAATGGTAAGATACGAGTAAAACAATATCAAGTGAATTTAAACAAAAATATAATCTCTACTTTCGTAACCAGAATAGTATATGCAATAATTCGCTTTCAGTTTGTAGATTTCTAGTTTCAGTCAAAAGAGAACTTCTGATTTAAAAAAAGACTTTTTAAAAAAAGAAACTAGATTTGTCACAACAATACTATACTTTATGAGATCTTAAAATCCAGCATAATGAATACTGATTATGATAATATTCTATTCAGTACCATGAAAAGTACATTATTCTTTACAATTTTCGATGGATATGCGTAACATAAAATTATTTATTAGGTGATGCATCCGGATAAATTAATTTATTGTCTAATTTTCTGTTAAATCCACATACTATTTATTTAAAGCCATACTGACAGTTGAGTACTTTTCATAGATTGGATAAAAATATACTTACTTACTTACTTACGCCTCATACTCTCAATGGAGCATAGGCCGCCGAACAGCATTCTGCAACACACTATGTCCTGGACCACCCTCTCTAGTTCTATACAGTTGTTGCTTATCATTCTCATGTCTCTCTCCATTTCTCAACGTAATGTCTTCTTTGGTCTTCCTCTTCTCCTTTCACCTTGACGATTCCAAGTGAGGGCTTGCCTTGTGACGCAGTTCGGTACTTTCCTCAATGTGTGTCTTATTTACTTCCAGTGCTTCTTCCTGATTTCTTCTTCTGCTGGAATCTGGTTTGTTCTCTCCCACAGTAATTTGTTGCTGATAGTGTCTGAACAACGGATCCGAAGTATTGTTTTTGTAGACAACTGTTAATAAACACTTGTATTTTCTGGATGATCGCTTTCGTAGTTCTTCAGGTTTCCGTCCCATACAGTAGAATTGTCTTGATATTTGTATTGAAAATTCTGACCTTGGTGTTGGTTGATAGTTGTTTTGAGTTCCAGGTGTTCATCAGTTGTAGATATGCTGCTCTTGCTTTGCCGATCCGCACCTTCACATCTGCATTAGATCCACCGTGTTCATCAATAATGCTGCCCAGATATGTAAAGGTTTTTGCATCTTCCAAAGCTTCCCCGCCAAAAATACAATATTATCTTATATATTTATAGATGGAGATTCCTTTAAAAAATCTTCCAAATGAATTGCAACACTTCAAATTAATAAAATACTCTGAATTAGTCTACGTAATCGACTAATGTATGTATGAAATTGTGAATAATGCCCTAATATGTTGAATTGAAGCAGTTAAATGCCATATTTGCACAGAAAATATACAAAATTATAAGTTAAAATATTAATATTTTCAATATATGAGGGACTGAATATGAATCAGGAATAAAACTTAAGAGAGCCATATATTTTGTGAGTCAATCATGTAAACCAATGATAACGTAAATGAAAACACTTTTTGCTTATGCTGAAAAAAAAGCTTACCTAACATACTTTCCGTGAAAGAATAATAATGCAGTAACACTGAACATATTCCAATTCCCCTTATCTTGAAATCGCATTTTGTTGAAAGCATATGCCACATGACTATGACAATTATCACAAAAAAGGTTATGCTAAAGGAAATAAGAATATTGTATTTCGTAAGAAAAACATTTGATATTGAAGGCTTTACTAAACTATGATTTATAAGAGTCTTTCATATATGACACTAGAAAGATTAGATCATAATGAGAATAATTTATTGATTTTTAGAAAAATATATGAATACACTGTGTGAAAACCAGGACACAAAATATCTGGTTTTCTGTGTACTCACATACGATTAATGTTGCTGTAACTCCTTACTAAAGGTGAAGGTTTATGTAGTTGACTCCTGACAGTATTTTAGGCAAAATAATCAATATCACAAGTAGAGGTACGAATGAGTATTTTATAATAAGCGACAAAAGTATCCTTAATGTTCTTCATTGAAAAAATTAAACATCGCCTAACCCCATGCAAAAAAGAGACAGATTTAAATCCTTTTGCATAGTTTCGAAGTAAGTGTTATGCTATATTCACACATGGAAGACTCGGTTTCGATTCCCGACCAAGGAATTGACTTTAGCCCCCAAATGCCCTGGTAAGGTCGAGGGTGGGGTGAGTTCGCTCTCCCTCTCGAAATGTCTTCACATGGCCTCGCGTATACAGCCACTGTCAGGGAAGTCCTACTCACTACCTTCTCGCGATATTACCGTTGTTTACGAAATTGAGAGGACGAAAAGCGAATATTCGGAGCTTTAACAGGGTTGGTGAACAAGGAGAGTCTACCTAGAGGAGCTGGAAAACCCTGATTCCAAACCAATGGTGCGCGTGGGCTGTCTCCAGAATCCTCAGGGAACAAATGACGTATGAACCAATTGTTGGTCACCGACTACCATGAGATTGCACCGCCTTACGTTGTTCCACTGTCTTTTGGATCAGACCTTCAGGTTGAAGGCTCTGGGTGTGACCCCCTAAGAAAACCACCTGCTTCTGTTTGGGCACCGGGGCAGTATTAAAGCCCACATACGTATCAAGTGATTTGTGTGGTACATATGTACCGAAGTGCTCAAATAAATAATGATTGTTGTTGTTCAGGACGTCATTTAATACAACAGTTGTCATCATATTAAGTCTTTGAGTGAATTCCTCGATAATACTTGTGTGGTGCATATGTGTTCGTAGCCCCTAGTACCAATATTTATATATTCAAGTAAACAAATATATACTCACACACTTAAGCCATGAGAAACATAACTCATTACAAGAAGATAAAATCTGAGTTATTTAAGACCTCCTAATCGTATCTGAGCGCTTCAACCTCATAAAGCAACAGGTTAGATGTATAAAAGTAAATTTTTACACAACTCGACAACTCAGAATACGTTCTTTTACGTCAGGCGTTTGTGTGAAAGCCAGAGATACCATCCGAAAGATAAACTGACACCAAAACTTGAGACTCGACTGCTGAAAATCGTGTGCTTAGACCAATAAGCTATAGCATAGTAACTTAATGCGATACACTATAGCTAGACGTTTTCAGAAAAATCATAACAACATACCACTCGTCCTTTATAAACTTCATTCGCTTCAGAGATGGCATTGTCCCAGACTTCCCGACTCCCAATCAGTTTAGCATGGGGTTGGTAATACCTAAGGAAATTGAAGATCAGGCTGTATTGTCGTGAAACATACATCGTTGGCCATCCAAAAGCCATTTGGTCCTCCTGTAGAGAAGTGTTAAAGTTAATACAACAGGGAACTAAAATTTACCCCAATAGTATAAGGGCCTGCAAAATCATATATAACACCATATGAATTAGCGATTCCCATATGTCCAATAAAAGGAAAAAACCATCTTCAATTAGTAGTGATGTTAGTACATATGACAGCATACGTTAACAAGGGAATAGGAGTCCATACAATAGAATATGGGAATCGATGGAGTAAAGGAGTAACTGAGTCTATCCTGTTTTCCATATTATAATATCCAGGATCATGAAATTCAGGAGAGGAATCTAAGCTGCTTTTCTCTACCTTGACAAGTAAAAAAGATGAAAATGAGTACATATGATATGAAAATTAAAAAATAAGCATAGATCTACATAGAAATTAAAAGCAGAATGGATTTTATGTAGCATCGATTAATTAGTAAACATGCTACATGAAGTGCAGATTTGTCTGCTACATGGAAAGTGATATAATGATACAACAATTATTACCTTGACATTTGTAAATTCAGATTATTTATGGAGTTGAATAGATAACCAACAGTGTGTTCAAGTAGTACAGTGTATGACCATCAGTTACCCTTAAAAGTAGTGCTGCTAGTTAGGGCGGAAACAAAAAGGTTGTGGCTTTTTATACCATTATTCAGATTAACCACCGAGTTCTAAGTAAATGACAAGTTAATCAATGATCGTAAAAATGAACTGACTGCCCCCAAATGCCCTGCTACGGCCGAGAGTCCACTCTCACTCTCGAAATGCTCTCACACGCCACGCGTATAAACCACTGCCAGAGCACTCCAACTCGCTGCCTACTTACAGCATTACTGTTGTTTATGAAATTGAAAGGACGATAAGCATATGTAAATAAAGCAAAAACAAGTATTGATGCAGAATAGTATGAATACAGAATATTTCGAGGTTTCTCGTCAGCTGCTTACAACCAAATATGTAATAGAATTTTACATTGAGATAAGAAATAGTGTAAAACAATTAACATAAATGAATGTAAATGATTGGAATGACGAAGGACTATAATAATAACTAAATATATATGTGAAAGAAAAGGTCAGAGGTTAATTAATGTTAGAATTAAGAAAAAAATTAAGGATGGGTGGTGTAATGGTTATAAATTATGTGATAATTTTGGAGATAGTGAAGGATTCATGGAATTGAGCAGTGATAAAATAGGTTACGTAATAACTGAATGGAATTTGAAAAGCTAACAAAAGTTCAGAGGATGAATGGGCGGAAATGTGTGAATGAAAAGTTGGTTTACGAGTTCGGTAATGGGGAAGGAGGGGAATATAACACAAAATAAATGTTTTAAAAATAATTAAGATTACGCAAATAACCCACTAATAAAATAAAAATAAAATGGATTACCAGGGTAATGATAAATTGACTACTGTATCTTTCTGAATACATAAATCCGGTTTAGGTTTTCTTGTCGCGATCGCTTCGGCAAAACGGAGAGGAACCGTACTTTTTTGCCTACTGATAATTTTAAAAGCGTGCGGAATATTGATGGTATGTCCGGTGTCAAGTAAATGCCGAGCTATTGCACTATTGAGAGCCCTAGTCCCTTTCAGGCTCAAGTTTTTTGGAACATGCTCAGAAACGCGAACATGTACCCTTCTCTCAGTTCTTCCAATGTATGTGCTGTGGCACGTACATGTGAATTGGTAAATACAATTATAGCTACCGAGAAAAGAGGACTTGTCGATTTTAGTTTGTTTGAGAGAGCAGTTCGTTTCCCGTAACGTCGTCAGTTTAGCTGCTGGATAGACCACCTTCAATGCGGAATTTATTCTGTGATTGACTATTCTGGTGACTTCATCTCTTTTGAAGCGCAAGTATAGGAAGCAGTTTTTCTTTTCAACTGTATCATGCTTAACCGGAGGGTTGGTATTTGCATATTTGTGGATGAATTTCTCCGGATATGCATTTTCACGTAGGAAGTTGGTGATTATAGCAATTTCTTCTTCAAGACATTCCTTTGAGCAGATTTTGCGTGCACGGTCAAAAAGGTTTCGTACAATACCTTTTTTATAACATATAGGGCAGAAGCTTTTATAATTGAGATAAACTCCACTCCAGGTATTTTTACGATGAATGTGTCTTTGTAATGTACCATCTGATGTTCGTCTAATTCCAATATCTAGGAAATGGAATTTATCGTCAACCTCATGTTCCATAGCAAATTTTATATCTTTGTGTGCTTTATTAAACAGACTGAGTAAATTAGTGGAGTGTTTGTGATTGTTGTAGACAAGGAACGTGTCATCAATATATCTACAATAGAGTGTGGTACTATCGATTGTGTGCTTAAGTTTCTTTTGTTCCAGGTGTCCCATAAATATGTCGGCCAGAATTGGGCCCAAAGGGCTGCCCATTGCTACTCTATCAGTCTGGGAGTATAGAACATTGTTGAACTTAAATTGTATGTTTTTTGTGCACAAAAACAGGAGCTGTTTAAATTCATGGATTGGTAAAGGCAGGAGTTCCGGATATTCACATATGATCTCTGCCGTTTCTTCCAAGGGGATATTTGTGAAGAGCGGTGAGACGTCAAATGAGACTATGAATTTGTCAAAAACATTAAGGTTACCAAGTTTTTGTACAAATTCAAAGCTACCTTTCAAACTGTAGGTTGCTAGTTTCTTGCGGATTGGTTCTAAGCATCTAGTGAGCCAGCGGGCAAGTTTATGAAAGGGTGATTTGGTCATAGATAATATTGGTCTTATCGGGATGTCGGGTTTATGTATTTTGGGTAGGCCATATAATTGTGGTAATTGTGACCCTTTTGGTTTGAGTTCGTTATATGTATGATAATCTATTAGATTTTTCTTAAAGTTCTCCCAACTTTTTTAAGAGACTTTTCTCTGTCACATCTGTTAAGTCTTTCTGGGTATTATCGATGATGAATCTAGTGGAGTCATTTAAAATGGACATTATTAATATATTCATCTCTGTTGAGATTGACTACACCGGAACCCTTATCCGGACGAAGTAGCATTATTGTTTCGTCTTTATTAAGTTTTCCTAATGCTTGATGGTGATCTTTAGTGAACACCTTCGATTGTGGGATTGGTGTCGTAACGTACTGGTTTGTAATATCCACTAATTTGGATTTAAACCAACTTTGCTTTACGTCGTTCACGGGTTTGAGGTCTGACAACTGTTGATATAAATATTCAAACTGCATTTCTGTGTTTATTCTGTTACATTTTTTCGGGATATAAAATTTGAATCCAAGGGAGAGTGCCTCAGTTTCAATTCGACTTAGTTTTTTACTCGATAAATTCTGTATGTATTTTCCTGGATTAGTAAGAAATGCCACATGGTTTAATACGACATACAATATTTAAATCAATAACAATTTTCATTCACGATGTTCAGTCTAAAACCAGTCATAAATTCCTAAAGACATTAACTAAAACACTTGTAAAAGAACATAACAATGTGGCATTTCCTAATAATCCAGGAAAATACATACAGAATTTATCGAGTAAAAAACTAAGTCGAATTGAAACTGAGGCACTCTCCCTTGGATTCAAATTTTATATCCCGAAAAAATGTAACAGAATAAACACAGAAATGCAGTTTGAATATTTATATCAACAGTTGTCAGACCTCAAACCCGTGAACGACGTAAAGCAAAGTTGGTTTAAATCCAAATTAGTGGATATTACAAACCAGTACGTTACGACACCAATCCCACAATCGAAGGTGTTCACTAAAGATCACCATCAAGCATTAGGAAAACTTAATAAAGACGAAACAATAATGCTACTTCGTCCGGATAAGGGTTCCGGTGTAGTCAATCTCAACAGAGATGAATATATTAATAAAGTAATGTCCATTTTAAATGACTCCACTAGATTCATCATCGATAATACCCAGAAAGACTTAACAGATGTGACAGAGAAACTTAAGCACACAATCGATAGTACCACACTCTATTGTAGATATATTGATGACACGTTCCTTGTCTACAACAATCACAAACACTCCACTAATTTACTCAGTCTGTTTAATAAAGCACACAAAGATATAAAATTTGCTATGGAACATGAGGTTGACGATAAATTCCATTTCCTAGATATTGGAATTAGACGAACATCAGATGGTACATTACAAAGACACATTCATCGTAAAAATACCTGGAGTGGAGTTTATCTCAATTATAAAAGCTTCTGCCCTATATGTTATAAAAAAGGTATTGTACGAAACCTTTTTGACCGTGCACGCAAAATCTGCTCAAAGGAATGTCTTGAAGAAGAAATTGCTATAATCACCAACTTCCTACGTGAAAATGCATATCCGGAGAAATTCATCCACAAATATGCAAATACCAACCCTCCGGTTAAGCATGATACAGTTGAAAAGAAAAACTGCTTCCTATACTTGCGCTTCAAACCTCGCTCGAAAAAGTATCCGTAGCTTATCTCACATAAAAACTGGCAGAAACAAATCCTAGAACGATTAACAACAGTACACACAGAAAAACAGGCTTTTCGGTAAAATAGATTACCGATGGTCTTTATTTTTTTAACAAACGTGATGATTTCAGGAAACTACCCGGATACCTCACTGAATATCATGGTACAACCTGATTCCAATCAACATTTAATTAATCGCACTGATTGGTAAATTTACAACATAAAAATTAATGGAAGGCAATTTATTATACCTAATGTTGCTTTACATATGCAATTAAGAACACATGTTCTTTTTCAAGGAGATAAACTCGTTTGATAGGCAAAACTACGTAGTAACAGAATGTAACGCATACCTTCATATTCCGGACTAAAACCAGTGCTTCCAATATCCGAATTTGTATTATTCGATTGACTCCTTTGAGTTTTCTTCTTGTTCTTTCAGTAAAATTCGATGTACTTTGTTATGTCCAGTTGGTGGTAGTCTAACAACTTCACTGAACTAATTACAGTCACTTGCAGGTATTTGTGACTTTGTATATCTTGCAATCTGACTTAGTGCGTTTGTCACAGGACAGTGAGGTTTCTGGACTCCATAAGTTATCGCATTACCAAGCAGACGGGTCATTGATCGCAACGTGGAAAATAGTGAGATGATAAATCGAGTGTTGAGAAAGACGACTCTTCCAAGAATGAATAATAATTTACTTTATTGTCAGCATATAAGAATGTGGAACTGAAGGAATAAGAGGTGTGACGAGGGTGATAGCAAGAGGTATTAGAATTAGTTTCTGACATGCGGTAATTTAAACTGTAACGAATCATAAGTCATGCATCACACACAGCTGTTCCAAGAGGGAGATGGAAATCCATAGCTGAGCGCGTGTTTGTCAAGTATCCTCTTAAATCTATACCCTTGTAGCGGTAAATAATTCCCCAAAATAAATAGCTCTGTAAGTTTTCGACATTGGATGCTGATCACATGTTTTAATGGATTCACCTAGCTGAAGGCGCTCGGTCATGCATCCGCACCAGATCACGTGTGGAAACGCCGTGCTCAACACCTACCGCAATCGCTGGCCAGATTAGATCAGAAGGTGTTACTGTTAAAAGGGTTGTCAAACACTGAATACCTGTGCCATCTTCATTGGTGAGCCCGACGCGATACGAACACGCAGCATGATCACTTTGGCTGGCAAATCACCATAAATGGGGTCAGCTATCAATGAGAAAGGGTGAGAGCTTACTCGAGGGTTTACTAACACTGAGTTACATTGCGTTGTTTAGCATTCCACAGTCACAATCTCCCAGTGGTCAAACATGGTTTGTCTCCACCAATCTCATGGCCATGAGGTGTATTTCAGATAATCTTTCCTCGTTGCGTAGGCTACTCTAGTGAAGATAATGTAGGTGAAATTCTCATCCCTCAGAATTATCTCGTTTTTGATCACGTAAAACATGAATGCACCATGGTCACTGTTAGGAATTATTTTCCACAAATGCTATTATAAACTATTCCCCAGACTGTCGGGCACAGTCTTGGCTTAGTCGACATCAGAACAAGTAAGCTATTTGTTTTGATAAGCTTTGTCTGTTTCTAAATCGCAAATTAATTCTGTCAGTAAACAAAATAAACAATTTATGCAGTCGGTTAAACGGGGGAAAAGTGATACATAAATAACGTACCTAACATTAACTAGGGAATGGAAAAAAACGAACCGACGAACCAAATATTTTTTACGATGAATAAACAAGGCAAAATCATACAGGGTTACAGAGGGCTAACCTTGTGCTGGGCGACTGATTGTCATTGGTGGGTTTGTTTATCGACCACACTTTACAGTCACTTCACTCCATCGGTGTGAGTACATGAACTTCCTCAACTAGAAACTGGTCATTCGTCAGTCTGTCATCTAAGCTTGAGAGCTTTTTGTCCCTGTTTCATTTCATGGCGCTACCACACATTCAGACGGTCTAAAACTTTGAATATTCGTGGCAAGCTGCTTTGTAGCATTTAATCAAACAGTAGGTGTGATAGTTTTATCGTCGACTGTATTATCTCATTTTTCAGGACCTTTATTTTCAAATCAAAATGAAGGCACATGGTTCTTGTTTCTCCTAGCTTACCACTTAACCGGCTTTCACGACATTGCACATAAATCGAGAGGTCACTCCTCGAGCTGCACCTGTACTGACTATCGCCTACTAGCTCATGTACTCCATGAATCATCCTGTTGGTTGGTTCTCTAGTGTTCGCTGAACGACTAGCGTCATTTCTCGCGGAACACGATTTGTCGTATCTAATTCGAATTTAGAAAGATCACTTGGCCGATGGTCTCTGGGATATGATTAAGTTTTCCTCATTAACTTGTGTTGAATCTAAAATTACCCATAATGGAGGGGAATTACCCTCCGCAACGTTTGCATCTTAATGTAGATTTCACTGTCTCACCAAAGTGGTACCCATTTCAAGCAATTATTAGTACCATTGCTCTTTACTGAAGGCTGCCTAACTTTCTGTTAGTCTACCGTATGACACTGAATTTGTAGTGGCATTGGATCATAACCACATAATCCTCAAAGCTGAATGCTAGACTACTCAAAAAATAGATATTCAATATTTAACGCGGAGAAATAACTAACGATATAGAAGGCGGGAACAAGGAATTGAGTTAATTGAAGTGGATCGTATGACATGGCTCGGACTTGCAGGCGTGGTCCCTGCTGAATGTTACTTTATATCTTTTATTCATATAAAATATATGGTTCTATTCCTAGCCTAAGTTTGTCCTCTATCATGTATTTGTAATTGTTACAATGTAGTGAGTCAGTGTAGACGATGATGTGACTTCCACGTAAGATCTTATAGATTAGGCAGTTATATCATGACAAATCTACAATTATAGGATTAGGTCTATTATTAGAGCAGTATTAATATCATAGTAGACCATAATTCTACAAATCACTAAATAAATACAGATAGTTTTGTTTAACGTCTTTGCTCACGATGTTTAGTAATTTGGAAGCTATGATCAGTACACTTTCCCACCGAAAGCCCACTCACTTCTCACAGCTAACAGACAAAGGAGTATTAGCAACAGCCAATAATTTAATTGGCATACAAATCGTGGCTCCCATAGTCGCGTGTTTGATTGAGCTTGTTTTTAGTGATCTGTATATACCGGTGTGGATTAATACAGCTACTGCCAACAAGGTATTATGTTTCTATACTGTTAGTTCCGTTGGTGAGTTTTTTTTCTACACTTTGGGCAAACGTGTCCTAGCCACAAAAAGGGATGAGATAACAAAGACCCATTGTCCTTCCTGGATCCTGAGTTACCACAGCAACAGAGTAGCGAGGCACTAAAGAAATTACATTAAGTCGATTACTCTGAATACCAACGATCATGCGATAGGACTATCCTTTTGGTATTTCTTTTGCCCAGTAGTGAGCATCAAAGACAGTTTATAGTCCACTTTTTCTCATATTTCTATTCTGTGAGTGTTGTCCTGGTTACTTAGTAACAGATTCAGCTTCATTACACGAGTTAACAGATCCACAATGTACACGTTACTCCGAGGTCCTGTGTCTGGTGTCGCCTCGAGCTTTGTTATAATCCTTTGTTATAGTCGTCGAACGACATATGTCCGTGTCCATCGTGTGTATCTTGTCTATCCTCCAGCTGAACAGAACCTCTGTTTTGGATTTTTAACGGCAGCTCTATGGCTAACTGTAGGCGGGTATGTAGATTTTATCTTTCCGTGACTCAGTAGTTTTCGTCTATTTATCCAGGAGTATTACTGCGTTAAATGCTCCTAAGAGTATTTCTACCTACCTAACTAACAGGCAGTCTTTTTTCCGAAGTTTTTGACATGGGATGATTTTGGAAATGCGCAAAGGTTTTCAGGCATGTAAGAGAAACATAATTCCCATATTTTCAGATGACATGACGTGCACGTAATGAGTAATCAATCCGTTGTCCCGTAATACATCCTACTAATGATACTATGCAGCTGTCAATCTAGGACAACACAATTGTACAGAGAATTTTTGCTATCATTAATATATGCCAACCTTACTTATTTAGATATCCGGACAGCTATCAGGGAAGCTAAAGTACATCATGAACATATCCCACAATGACGTGTGATCGAATGTACTTTTCGCATTAGCAATGATCTAATAGCATATGCAATAATCCATAATTACTTCTTTCCACATTCTCAGCAATATGGGAAGGTAGACCGGTATTACTAACCTGCATAGCTGCTCATGACAGGTTTATGCGTTGCGATATCCTGCAAGCTTATAGTGTATACCGAAGCTATCTGGAGAAATCGGTCATGTTCATGATATCAAGATTAACATTGTTTGGATAAGCTAGTCCTCCGGGAACATATACGTAGTACATCTGTTCCGTATGACGCTCGTCTGATTACCACTTAGATTGTTACTGCGTAGGATAACGATTTATTAGCTTCCCCATCGGACAGTAAATACATAGCCGTAACTTAAAGGATCATTAAGTCATAAGAAAAGCAGTGCATTCGTCCCAAAATAAAGGTCATGTTGCCAATAAACGAACGTCGATCTACAATGCTCTGGTTATCGACTTTTAAGCAAGTAGGACAGATGCAGTTGCGTTAGTATATTGAGCTTTTTGGAGGAGATAACTTCTGATATGATTCCAAACAATTCCTTAATATAGGGTTCGAATTAGCCTACTGTGTAGTAAAAAAATTTGTTTAGGAGTAAGCGTTGATGTTAAAGAACCTAGTGTATCTAATGTGGACATATTGAATGAGCACGAACGTTCACTCATTTTCATGTATAAATCTCATTGGGCATGTAAATGTCTAATGCATTAGTACAATTCAGTTTGTCATTTCCATTGTGGCATAACTGAAGATGATTTTAATCAAACTGAATAATTATGACGTTATTCAGATACTACTATTATCTCAGTCCATTTATATCCATTCATTGATACTATAATATGGTCGTTTATTACTACCGAAAGTGCTAATTAATTCAAGCACATAAATATACATTTACGAACATTGATATTAAGGTTCTCACCTAATTCATTTATTCTCAGTCATACAGTATAAAGACAACGAAAACACAGATAACCGTCTTGGAAGTGACTATTAACACATAACTTGTGTAAGAGTTCTATGTGAAACAAATTAAGCGACGCCTAGAGGACAAAAATGTGAACTAGAAGTCACATTTTATTCAAGTTATCGACGTAGGGCTGTCTTGTCAGCACTCATAATAACAAACGCTATGAATATCACCATCGTCATGGTTAAAAGACTGATGTGTTATAAATGAGATTCTGTGTCAAAATATAAAAACATACATACG